GGTTTGGTTTTCATTCATAAACTTGCTACCTATCCTCATGTCTTTACGATTTCTACCTACTTTTCCCCTAGAAGATTTAGTGTATCATATTTAATATTAAATCCTTGATCCACTTTGATTGTAGTTTAGTACATGGTGATAGACATGGGTCTAATTTTAGCTTTCAGTATGTGGAAATCCAGTTTATCAAGCACCATTTACTAACGAGGCTATCTTTCTTCTAGTGAAAGAGTTTGGTCCCTTTGTCAAAGATAAGGTGGATGAGTGTTTATAGTTGTGTCTGAAACTTCTAATCTATTCTATTGGTCCACATATCTGTCCTTATGCCAGTACCATGCTGATTTTATCACAGCAGCTTTGTGGTATAATTTCAGGTAAAGGATTTTAATGCCTCCTGCCTTTTCTGCATTGTCTAGGATTGCTTTTGATATTCTGGATCTCTTCTTGTTCTACATGAATTTTAGGAATATTTTCTCTAGACCAGTGTGGTATACTAGGGGTATTTTAGTTGGGATTGCATTGGATCTGAATAACAATTTTGGGAACATGGTCATTTTCACAATGTTGGTTCTTCTTATCCAAGAGCAAAGAATATCTTTCCATTTTCTGAAATGCTCTTCAGTCTTTCTCAGAGTACTGTAATTTTCACCGTGTAAAACTTTTACTCTTTTATGTGATTGATTCTTAAATATTTTGTTTGTTTTATGTTATTGTGAAAGGCAGTTTCCTTAAATTGTTTCTTGGTGTGTTCATTGTTTGTGTACCAAAATGCTATTGCTTTTTGAGTATTGACTATGTATCCTGCTACACTATTCAATTTGGTTATTAAACTTACAAAACTCTTGGTAGAGTTTTTGGAGTCTTCTATGCATAGTATTGTGTCATCTGAAAATAATGATAATTTCAGTCCCTCCTTTACAATCATTATTCCTTTTATTTCTCTCTCTTTCTAACTGCTCTGTCTAATGTTTCCAGAACTATATTAAATAGAAATGTTGACAGTGGAAATCCTTGTCTTGCTCCTAATTTTACAGTGAAGGCTTTCACTTTTTGTCCATTTAGTATGATGTTTGCTGCTGGTTTCTCATAGATGACTTTTATCAGGTTGAGATATAGACCAGCTATTCCAATGTTCTGTAGGATTTTACTATGAATGAATGTTGGACTTTGTCAAAAGCTTTTTCTGTACCTTTAGAGGTGGTCATGTGTTTTTTATCTTTGACTCTGTGGATGTGGTATGTTACATTTATGGATTAGCATATGTTGAATCATCCTTGCATTCCTTGGATGAATCCCACTTTATTATGATATATAATCTTCTTGATGACTTTTTGCATTGTCTGCTACTATGTTATTGATGATTTTTGTATCTCAGTTCATTAGAGAAATTGGTCTGCAGTTCTCTTTTTTAGTTGTGTATTTCACTTGTTTTGGTATCAGAATAATGCTTGCCTCCAGGAATGAATTGGGGAGAATGCTTCACTTTCAATTTCATTGAAGAGTTTGAGAAAAGTTGGCATTAAATCTTCTCTAAATTTCATGTAGAATTCAACTGTGAATCCATCAGGACCTGCGCTTTTCTTTGTTGGTAGATTTTTTTTTTATTACATTTTCAATTTTGTCTTCCATTATCGAGTTATTCAGAGGCTGTATGTCTTCTTGACTCAGCTTTGGCAATTCATATGTATCTAGGAAACTATTTATTTTCTCTGTTCTATTCATCTTTTGAGAGTAAAGATTTTAGAAGTAGGTACTGATGATGTTCTGAATTTCTAATGGGTCAGTAGAGATTCACCCTTTTCATTCCTTATTGCATGAATTTGATTTTTATCTTTCCTCTTTTTGATGAAGTTGGCTAGAAGTCTATCAATTTTATTTATTATTTCAAAGAACAAACTCTCTGACTCATCTACTCTTTGTACTATTTTCTTCCTTCCTTTCTATTGCATTAATATGTGCTCTAATCTTTATAATTTTCTGCCTTCTTTGGGCTTTGGGCTTGACTTGCTGTTCTTTTTCTAGGAGCTTGAAGTGCAGCATAGATCATTTACTTGGGCTTTTTCTGTTTCCCTAATGTGCAAATTTACCACTATAAATTTGCCTCTTAAGACACTTTTTATTTTATCCTACAGGTTCCAGTAAGTTATAACTGTAGTCTGTTCATGTGTAAATATTGTTTAATTTCTTCTTTAATTTTATTTGTGGCCCACTGATGGTTTAGGAGGTTGTTATTTATTTTCTATGTGTTTATGGTGTTTTTGTGGGTTTTTTTTTTGTCAGTAATTTCCAGTTTCATTGCACTTTGTTCAGACAGTATGCATGGGATAATTTCAATTTCTTTGCATTTATTTAAGCATGTTCTATGTGCTAGTATATGATCTATTTTGGAGTCATTTATTATTTCTTTGAACATTCTTTTGGATGCTTAAGTATATATAATCACATTATTTATAAACAGAGCTTTACAGTTGTTAAAATCTTTGTGTCTTTTTCTTGCCTGATTATAATGGTGAAGAGTTTCAGTCCTGTACTGAGGAGTATTAGTGGTGAGTGTTGGCACTCTTGCTTTTTTAGTGACTTCAAGGAGAAATAATATTTCATCATTATGCATGATATGGGTCAAAGGATAGCTCCATCTAGTTGCAGTTTGCTGAGAGTTTTTTTTTAAATCATGTATTACTGCTGAATGCTGTCTTTCTTTTTTATATATCTATTAAGTTGACCTTCTGCTTTTCTTTCTGGAGAAAACATCTAGTGTGTTCTTTATTATCCAGGCTAACAAACTTTGCGTTCAGTCATAGTATTTATCTTTTAAGTAGTTACCAACATAGTTGGGTTAAATTTACAGTGTTGCTTTTCGGTTTCCATTTATTCTGTCATTTTTTTGCTGTTGTTCATTGAACACTATATCCTGGACTACCCCAGGTTTCTACATTAACATCCTACATTTGTTCTCACGCTATTACTGTCCATTGTTTTGGTGCGTTATAACCCACTGAGTTAATCATTTAATTCTCTCAATTACAGATAATGCTGCACTGAAGGCTTTGTAGCCATCACTTTTTCTTTTATGTACTATTTCATTAGAGTGTGTTTTAAAATGAGGAATTATTGATTCAGAAGATAGAAGAATTTTCATAATTCTTGATACCATTTGTAGCCTTCTTTTCCCTAAAGAGTCATTCTACTTCAAAAGGTTTTAGAAATGTGAACCTATAATGATTTCATTGCTGTCTTGCTAGTGTTGTGAATTCTTTTTTTTTTTTAAATTAGGTTATAGAGCACTGAAGGGGGTACGAGAATTATGCTTACCAGTGCTATGTTGTGTGTAAGTACACAGAAAAAAAAGTTGTTCACAAATATACTGATTTCAGTCATAAAGCTTCATTATAATTTCAAATTATTTCTGCTTATTTTTCACATGCTTGGTCTGGAGCAATAAACCCTCACAAGTAGTCAAAGAATATATATTTATCACATAACATGTGAACTGGCATGTTTATTTGGGTCTAATAAAACTCTAATTCACAAATAAAATTAAGGATTATAAAAGCATAAGGAACATAGGAAGAGAAGGGGAAGATGCAGCTGGAAATATGCTTAAGAGGGCAGTGGACAAATGTTGCTGAATCAAATTTCAGTTTTGTGTGAATGATCTCAAGACAGAGTGACTGCACTGCTAAGCTTAATGAACAGATTTTCCAAGATTAGTGACATTGTTGAGGACTGGTGGAAAGGAACTTTCAAGATTGTAATTACTATACAGTACACCTTGGCAGATGTTATTTGAGCACAGCTACCTTAGAAGACATGAATTTCTAGTTGCTTTGTAGAATATTGAAATTGGATCTTTTAGAGGTGAAGTGGGCTCCCTGCGGTCACATAGCTGAAGGAGAGCAGAGCAGTGGCTCCAATTTACAGCTTCTATTTCTTAAGCCCATGACCTTCCTTTCATACTCAAGGGTTACTTTCAACAACTGTTATTACAATTTTTATCTGCCATAGCATTATTAGGAAAAGTTAATGAAAGCGACACATGGAAGACAAAAAGTTCTCCAAAGGGCTCTGCTCCAGCCCAGCATGATGGAAACTGGTGTACAATTCAAGGAGTTTCCTCATCAAAAGTGTGACTGAACAGCAATGAAAATCTGTTTCCGTGATATTGCAGCTCTGTGATTTAGGCATAGGAGCCCAGAGTCAGAAAAAAGACAGAAAGAAAAGTGGAACCTCAAATAATATCATAAAAGACATCATCCACAGTCAACATCTGTCAGGAGCTTCAAACTACACTAAAATCTTAACTTTTGAAACTTATAATGCTGTGAAACCTCATTGTAGAGGTTAGAAATTAGATATTGTCTTTAACAAAATCTATTCTTTCTAAAAGTCTACTCAACTTATGACAAATATTTATTAACTATTACAAAAGGTACTACTATTACAGCATCTTACTCTCTGAGTCAATAAATAAGGGTTTTAAAAATGTTTTACGTTTATGGGTAATCTCTTAATTTATAGCACACTTTTAGTAAGCGGTTCTTCCTTGTAGACTTTCAGTCATTCACTGTCATGTTTATAAAACAAATCCAAGTCTGAATAATGCTAGATATTATGTGGATTGCATCAGGCATACATTCATTATCTTTTTTGTATAAAATGATATTTAAAAAGTTTAAAATATATTTTTAAAAATTTGGTTCAAAGCATGAGATATTTTATAAAAATCTGAGGTGACTCCTGTGAATACATAGAAGGAAAAAAAAATCTGTTTTTTGCTTCTCCTGGTACTGTTTTCATTTCAGGAACCAAGGGAATAAAATGAGCCTTTCTTTGTTTAGCATATCAGCTGACAGTTGCAAGCAGCCAATCAGATAGGACCATCTGATGACACCTTTATCTTCCAACCATCACCTATGCTTCTAAAGTTTGTATCTTTTGAAATGACATTATGTATTTACGTGAACGTAGCTAACTAGAGTGGTATGTTGTTTACCATGCAGGAGGTGTTTGGATACCGTACCCAGACTCTGCGGAGAGCTGCGTGCCTTGTCATCTCCGTGTTGACTGCTGGAGTCCTTCAGTTGATGTTCTACTGGAGGCCTGAGTGGAGGGTGTGGGCCAGCTGTCTTCCATGCTCTTTGCACGAAGCAGACACTGTTCTGCTGAGGACAACGGTGTGTGCTCTTGCTACCTGCTTCAAGTGCTATGAGAGTCACAGAAAGACAGGTTCTGTATGCCCTGACTTATATGCTGAGCTGTAGTACTTGCAGAAGCAGACCTGATGGCAGTACAGAGTAGAGTAATGTCACCAGAGTCTGAGAAGCATGTGGGGAGCGAGGGATACTGGGAGGATCATTAACTAACAGGCACAGGCATGCAGTAGGATGCAAGGAATAACTTCTAAAGCCGTAAACACAGCAGTCTAACCACGATTGATGACCGTTGACTATTTCAGTGCCACTAGTAGAGAAGATTTTGAATGTTTCCAACACGAAGAAATGATAAACATCAAAAGTGATGAGTAGACCGGTTGCCCTACTCAGATTATTACCCACTATGTATGTGTACTAAAATGTCACTCTGTACCCCTTGCACATAGGCAATTATTATGTGACCATTAAAAATTAAAATATGTTTGAAAAGAGGACTTGAAAAGCTACAATCATGTCCTCTACCCTGCATCTGTTGTTTGCCCAGTGATGAGCCGGCCTCGTCAGGAGTTTTCCTAGGCCAGAAAAGGAGATGGAAAAGCCATCACTACAGGAAGCACGCCATCTCTTTTTCAGACCAGGACTGAGGGACACTTCCCTCCTTCATCCTGTGGATGTTTCTAGAATGTCAGGCTGTGCACCTGTCCGTTCCATGGGCAACAGCTGTCAGAGTCACAACTCTTCTACCATAGCATAGGAAAAATCATCTGCTTTTACAAAAATATATAGTTTGAAGGAAGATATTACACATTTCAAACAACTAGGTGCTGTTTAAAAATAGCTAGCTACCATTTTCTAGACATAAAACTTTCCTACAAAGTATATTTTTCCTCAGTTATTCTCTAGGCCAGTGTTTCTCAATTTTTTGTGCAAATTTGAATCCTCTGGACTGAAATACAGACACTGAGACCTCAGCACCAGAAATTGTGATTCTGTAGCTCTGGGGTGAGGCCAAGAATTTGCATTTCTTGTATGTTCTAAGATAATGCTGATGTTCTTGTTTGCTTTTGTTCCAAATGTTGGGAACCACTGCATGGTTCAGCATATGATAGGTATCTTTTTTTTAAAATTAATTTTATTGAGAAACAAATAGCAATGAGAAAGTTTCAAAATGTATTAATAGGACAGTTTCAATAATTAATACATTGCATATTATTGTCTTTGTAGTGATTATTCATAGTACAAGATGCAGACATGATATCCTGTCCAAATACTATTAGTACAAATCTTTCTTATTGAGTTAAGAGAAAGTAGCTACATATCTATCCTAATTATTTTAGGTAATGATTTAGAACCTAATATATAATCTAAAGGCACATATTTATTTAGAATCTGGAGATATATATTTATACACACACATACATGTATTTCTCTTTGACAGAAAATAAATGACAGGTATCTTGTTAGTTGAGCACCTTATGAAATGAGGCTTGAAAATTTCATAGGCTGTACTGATTCTTTTAGGATGAATTTCAAAGATACATGAGAAAGAAGGTGTTCTGCCTCTACTTATCCACACTGAAGTCTCCTATAAGAAAGAACCCAGAAGAGCCCTTGGTGGCTGGTTGCCACTCTGTCATAAACCGAGCCGTAATGAAGCCAGAATTAAAGGTAAGTGGCCTTATGAGTGCTGTACTATTTCAGAGAAAGAATGAAGGAAGTGTTTGTGGATAGATGCTCTGACTATAATGCTCTCAGGCTGGGAATAATAGCTGCTATCAAAGAAGGCTAGAGCCACACAGACCCACAGTGCATAGCCCTGCCTTAGTAGCTTTTATCTGCTGAATGACACCTGTTGGATGTCCTTTGTAATTGCAGCTACGATGCATCCAAGTGCAGAAAATCAGGTATGTTTGGGATCACCTGGAGAAGCGCTTTCAGAAAGTGGGGTAAGTATGACTTTTCCTACTACTGCGTGGGGGCATTAGGGAAGAACACTGACTTGCTGTGTCATGAACTGAAGTGTGGTTCCTGTCCTCAACACATTCTAGGTTGCTGGAAGATAGCAACTCCTGCTATGACATCCATCAAATGTTTGGGTTGGGCCTGAGCAGCGAAGAGCAAGAGGTCAGGTAGGATGTACCATGTTCCCGAGGGTCAATTCTGCTGGTAGGATAATGAAGTATTGAATGGGTCACCACCCATGTGTGGTTGGCGTACTATTTATCGGCTTGATAAAATTCCAGTTCACATAGCCAGATCTTGGAAACAACCAAGATGCCCATCACCTGGGGAATGGTTGAAAAAGATGTGGTATTTTTACACGATGGAGTATTATTCAGCTATTAAGAATGATAAACTGCAAGCCTTTATATTGAAGTGGATGCCACTTGAACATATACTCATAAGTGAAATAAACCAGACACACGTGTAAATATAGTATAGTTTCCCTAGTATAAGAACTCAAAAGAAGAAGTACAAATAGAAAGGTATAATACAAGTAAAAGGAAAGCAGGAACTTGAGGACTAACTAATTAAGTGAGGGAAAGGAGAAGAGCTAGGAAACATGACAGTGGCAAGCCATACAGTTATATGTACAAGATGGGCAAGGTAATGATCCTGAGAATCTCTAGAAGATTTTTGAATCTAGCAGTTAATTGGAAAGATTCTCACCCTGACTAACTATATATACTGATACCTGTGAACTAAGCAACTGCACTGAAGATGATAATCTGTAATAGTAGTTTCATGCTTGGAGTGCCGGTCATTCTGGTATTCTGAATACGGGCTGCTTGTCATGACATGCCAGTTGCTGCTGTGCTGTCTCTTGGGTAGATGATTGTTCAAAAAGAAGGGGGTGGTGAATGAAGGCAAGAGATAGGAAAAGTAATGTTGTGGGACTGTCCTGCTTCAAGGTTGTATAGGGTTAGATTATTGGACTTATGTGTAAACATAAGAATTATATAATTCTTTATGCCTATTTTAAAAAATATATTCTAATTTTTAAATGTTTTTTCATCATATTCTGTAGGGACTTAAAGTTCAACATATCAATACACGATGAAAATACCTGTTCCATGTCATGCCTAAGATGTTTGATATTCAGACAGATAGTGAGGTTAAGCTTAACAGCCTAGGTTGTATGGCAATAACAATAAACTTCTCTTCTGGAAGGTTAGCAACCTAAGTTTGCAGACCAAAATTAGAGGAAAAGGAGGTCCACAAGGAAAGCCAACATTTTGATCTTTGCTCCTAGGCTTGTAGAATTCTCTTATTTGTATTATCTTTTTACTTCTTTCCTCAAAGAAACTTGGGGCACTCCACAAATATCAGCCTCTTAATGCTCCACATCTTCTGAGACCCAGAGAGAGGTATTAATGTTGCATTTTTAATGAACATACAGTCTTGGAGGTGAGGATTCTGTCTGCTGCATTAGTGATGTTATTCAGGACTGTACTGCAGCACCTGGAACAGTTGCTGATTCATGATAGTAGATATTTATACATAAATGAATAAATGAGCAGTACATCCATTAACTCATACACATGTGCTTAATATCCCACACCCTTTGTGAAGATAAGTGATCAAGAAAGAAACACGTTGTCCCAGGGACATCCACTGGCTGATCATAAAGGCAAAAGTAGAAGCGCACACGTAAGACTGGTACCCGCAGATGTACATAGAATAGGAAATTATATATATGTATAATTTTTGTACTGGGATTTGAACTCAGGCCCTTCTTGCCAGGCAGGCCCTGTGTTGCTAAGGTTTATCTCTGGCAAGATGAGGAGATGCTTATCCAACTCGCCCTCGAGATATAGCCATTTCTTTCAACTATGATTCAAAGTGGCCAAAGCTTCACCATGGTCATACTCATAAAAATCTTCATTCCTCAGCTCACTTTTGGGACATTACCTCTTCAACCTTCTTTATAGTAAACCCAAAACACCCATTCTCAAGCTAAGATGAAATCTGCTACAGTATGGGTGTTTGATTCCACCCTCCTCCCCCAAATTCTGATAATTGAATAGGAGAAAATGACACTTTTGAGGGAAGGAATGATGTATTTTTAGCAAGTGTACCATATTCTGACACACAAGCCTAAGAGTTATTGATTTGCTGTTTTAGAGTTTTTCCTCTTCCAGAATAGTACAAGAAATAAGCCAGCACCTAGACCAGAACAATCCTGCAAAATGTATTAGAAATGGTATAGTTATACAAGATTTCAGAAGTAATGCAGAATACAGTTAAATACAAAAAGTTTTCAAAGTCATTAAAAAAATATTGTCCTAGCAGCACTAAGTACAAGATGTGTAAAGGATTGATTTGGGGCATTTATGAAATTTCATTGATAGATGTAGATAGAACACTGCCGAGGAAATCGTTTTCACAGGGAAGATTGCCCATCATGTAGCTGCCTCACATTTGTCCTTATTTATCAAGTGCTGAGCTTTAATAAACATCATACATAATTAAATTTAAATCTGGTCCACACAATAAGGAACTTGACAGTACAATAAGGAAGATGGAGTAGAGTTTTCCAAGTATGAAAAATGGGAGAGATAAAGATAATCTTATAAACATAGGCATATTTTATTTCATAGGCATGTCTTAATGGTGGATGAAAAGAAAGGAAGTGAAATGTGAAATGTTTTTCCCTTCATTTTTTACTGTAGGACTGGAGGAGTTTAAAACAAAATCTAAATATGATTGACTGGTTGGTTGAATGATAGTTAATCAATTCCCTAAATGCATTTAAATTTACTTGTATTAAAAATCAAATGTGCAACATGAAAAATGAAAGAAATGGATGCACAAGAATCACACATAATGAAAAGCTGCAGAGTTGAAATGTAGATTTCTCTGTGCACGTCCTAGAGGCCAGGTATGGGGAGGGGGAGAGTGCACAGATCTATAAAATTATTATTAACGAAAGTATAAATATGAAGGTCTACATAATTCTTGACAGGAGAGATAATTTTCCCTGGAAAGAAATTTCCAGAAAGCACCAGGAAGGGAGCAAGGAAGTTGCCCCAGGAGAGCTCAAGTCCCAGCCTTTACTTGCCTTGAGCTGAACTCAACTTATCATCATAGTGTGTGTCTCTCCTAGATAGATTCATAGACACTTGAGATGAACCTGTTGTTTCAAATGAATGGGAACCTATGGAAAAACAAAGCAAAACAAAAAGCCTACCTGATCCACATCTAGTTTAAAAGTTGAGCATCCCCTCACTTTTTTCATTCAGCTGCTCCTGTCCCTCTTTTTAGCTTCCTGAAAATAGAAGCACAACTCTCTGACAGCAGATGAGGCCAGCACCTGTACTGTCTAGCTTTCTGGAAGAAAAATGTTTATGGGTAGAATTTCATTACTATGTGAAAATACTACCACCATGGCTGGCTCAAGTCAGTGGTGTAGCGTCACTCAAGAAGTTGGGCAGCAGTGCTCATGGTGTGTTCAGTGATTCTGCAGGGCCAAACTTAGACCTCACTCTTTGCCATGCCACCAAGAGGGATAAAAGCATGCTTGTCAGCACCAGAGGAAAAGATTCCACATGAAAGGCAAAGACAAGTGTACATCTGCCATCCACGCACAGCTCTAGGCTGTTCATGAGCAAACAGGACATCAGAAGAGAAAGAAGCGAACAGGAGGTGGAAGAGGGAGGGAGGGAGACAGCCACCAGGAGCCTTTCCCTTCTTATCCCTCAGATCTCAGGGAAGCACCATTCAGAAGAGAAACCAGGCTTACATACTATACTGTCTATGCCCTTTGGAAGTTACACTCCTAAAACACAGAGACATGTGAGGTTTAGGGACCCGTGAAGTCACAGCACAGCACAACTGATTGCCCTCTTCTCTTTAACACCACCAAACTTTAGTGCTTCTGTGATGTGATTTAGTATCTAACACTAGATCTTGATGTGAGTCCTCTCTACCCCTTGCAACCAGTGGCTGTAGTTGGAAAGGCACGGCCAGAAGGTGGATGAGCCTGGGCTCAGCTCATTGTCATACCTGGGTGACACCAGAGAGCACTCCTGCAGAATCTCCCCACTGGGTCTGGCTGACGTGGAGTTGTGGAGTAGAATTAGAGAAGCTGTGGTAGAAAGCCTGGTTCTGCCTTGCTCTGGGTCTGAAGTCCTGAGTCAGTTACTTAATTTATCTGAATTTTGATGTTCTTTATGATATGGGATCATATAAAGCCTTGGAGGATAATACAATGATTGGAGAAATGAATGGATACAAAAGGCTAAATGCACTTTTTGACACTGCTTAAAACTTGTGCATTTGCAATTAACAGTAGATGTGTGCAACTGTGGCCACAACTGTGGCTGAACAGATGTCCCTATCACCTACTGGGGGTGTGAAACTTCCTCTGGACCGTTGTGAGGATCGAGTGACACTTGGGCTGTCAATGTTATGCAAGGGGAGGACTTCTTTTGGTTTTGTACAGCTGCGGATGCCTTGTGTGTAATGTAATGCTCACACGGTGGAAGCCATAGACCCTGTTTTAGTTCATCTGTTCCTGCAGTTAGCCTGCTAAGGGCCTGTCACAGGGGCAGAGACACTGCAAGAGCAGTCGACACGCTGAACAAGTCTAGGAGAGCATCTTTGTATCTCTCGCTCTTTTTTTTGCAGCTGTGTCATATTGCGTTAAAGAGTAACTCCAAATGTCTTCATAACTTCATGTTGAATTTTTGAGTTGTGCCAAAGACAGTTGCTAACCTATCCATATTATTATTATTATTATTATTATTATTATTTAAATAATTTTATTGAGAAACAAGTAGCAATGAGACTATTTCAAAACCGATCAGTAGGACTGTTTCAATAATTAATACATTGCATATTGTTGTCTTCTTAGTGGTTACAGGCCTGGGGTGAAACTGCATATTTTTGTTATTTTTTTGTTGGTACATATTTGTAGCACTTAATGTTCGCAGTCCTTGTGGGGAGTGAGTACGTGTCACAATCCACCTAAAGACGTTTATCAAGCAGCGGCAAACCAACTTTGTTCACCATGCGCTGGCTTTCATTTTAAAGATGCATTAGTCGGTTTATGTTCCAAAGGTCCCTGTAAACTATGTCTTGTTTGACTGAAGCCATAATGTCACTAGGGAGCAGAGAAGGGGCTGTGGTTGGTGTGCTCTGGCCTGGGCCGTAGGTGTGGCACTCACGCTGCCTACTCTCCTGCAGACGACTGGTGTGCGGGCCCAATGCCATCGAGGTGGAAATCCAGCCCATATGGAAGCTGCTGGTTAAACAGGTAACTAGCTGGGGTTTTCTTTTTTAACTTTGGAAAAAATAATTGTCTGCCCTCCCTTTTAATGTCCTAGCACTCAGAGAAAATTTAAGCAGCCTGTGAATACTTGAATGGGAATGAAATCTGCTTTGAATGCAACTTCTTTTTGTTATGGTTACCTTGCCTTTCTTATTCTTCCTGTTTATTAAGGTTTCTTTTGGGGATGGTCCTTTTATCCCCTTTAAAATCTTTTCCCAGTTTGAGTATTTTAATTACTTTCCTCTTCACTGGGATAAAACGCTTTGTGCCCAAGGGCCGGCGATATAGCTCAGAGGCACAGAGCTAGCCTGGCATGCACAAGGTCCTGAGTTCAATTACCAGCACCAAAGAAGTAAACCCCCAAACCCTGTGCCCACAACTTAAAGGGAAGAAGTTTTCTTGGTTCACAATGTGCTGAGGAGGTTTCAGTTCACAGCTGGCTGGCTCAAGGTAGGACGTGGACACCTGGGAGTGGAGAGAGAGAGTGGAGAGAGGGAGATAGACCCCTTACGCCGTGAGCATACCGGTAGCCCCCTCCTCCAGCCAGGCTGTGCCTCCCGGCACAACATTGAGCTATAAAGGCATCAGGGGAGTGAACCCACTGGTGAGCATCACCCTCGCAATCCAGTCTCCCTCAGAAGCCCACCTGAGACCGCAGTAGGCCTTAGCAGGCATCTATGTATAAATCATAACATCGAGCTATGCGTTCCTGCTTTACCACCTGCTTGTTTCTTGCACTTTTTGTGCTTCATGATTGCCACAGGAGGATGTCTTAGCTCTAGGGCTGCTACAACCAGTGGGGTGATTTAAACAGAAAACATTTATTTCTCATGGCTTTGGAAACTGGAAAATGCAGGCTCAGAGCGATACACATTAAGTTCCTGGTGAGGGCTCTTCCTGGTTTGCTGTCCACTGCCCTCCCACTGTTCTTTCTTGTGGTGGACAGAGAGTGCTCTCACTGGTCTCTTTCTCCACTTGCAAGGATCAGCATGCGGGCCCCAGCCTTATGACATTACAGAAACTCAATTACCTCCCCAAGGCCCCACCTCCAAACATAGGAATCAGAAAGGGGGTACAATATGGGGACAATGAATGTTATTACTTCTGTGATTTAGCAGGATTTGTAGTATGATTTTGGTCTTTTTTCAAATTGTTCTATTATTTCAATTTTCTTGAGAGTGTCTTCTTTGGTTAGTAGTTTTTAAAAATAATATCTTCCTTGTGTGCTTTGATGTTATTTTTGTAAACTCATCTTCAGTGGGATATTTTCTCTCCTCCATTCTTCTCTGTCCCTCGCCTCTTTGATGGTTCTGTGTTTGCCTCCAGCTGGTTCCCCTGGGGTCCCTGACTCAGAGCCAGGCCTGTATTGGAGGAGAGATAATGTGCTCCCAATTTGACACTTGGAGGCCCTGTGCCAGCTCGGGCCACGGCCAGCCCATGGTTGTACCACAGTTCTGCCCTCCCCACTCTGCCCTTAGGTAATGAGCCATCTCTGGACGTAGACTTTCCATGCCTCCACGCTGGACAGGAATCCCACTGCTAGCCCTGCTTATTACCAAAAGTGTCTTTCCCTGTTGCTTGTGGATCACGTTATCTCTATAGCCCCTGGAATTGAACTCCTACCTACAGCTGTCTACCTCTCACCTAGAGCCACTGGGCAGGCTTTTTTCTTTTTTAATAGTTAATACATCACGTATTATTTTTTAAAGCAGTTAGAGCACAATGTAGGGGCACAGAAAATTCTTCAATTGATGTTAGCACAAGTCTTCCTTTTCTATGAACCAAGAGATCTTAATAATATAGTTAAGTTGCATTTTTCTCTCTTTTCCCTTCCTTCTCTCTTTTCCCCATCTTAGCTCCTTTTTCCTTTTAAAGCATTTGGCAGGTAGCTGCAGCCTCAACCTCCCATTTTTAATCTAACCTATGAAGATGGGCGTTTGCTTTTGGAACATGGCTGTATCATTTTAGTCCACTTTTTTTTTTTTTTTTAAACCCATTGATGTTTTGTATTTACAGCAAAAACAAAGCTGCTATTTTTTAACTTTAATTTTTTCATTCTGGCAGTATCTCGGGTGACCTTTTTCTAGCTCTTCACATTTTGCCTCTCTGCTATAATTATCAATAGTGGCTCTCTATTAAAGCACCTGCAAGCAGGCACAGGGGCTGGGGGTTTGATCCCCAGGCAGGCCCTGCCCCCAGGGCATGCTGAGACAGCAAAAGAGATTGGGCGTGGTGGTGCACGTCTCTAATCCCAGCTCTTGGGAGGCTGTGAACAGGCAGATCACTACGAGTCCAATCTAGTAGTGAGACCCTGAACACCCTGTAGACCCTTCCCTAAAATACAAAATGATAATAATAATAATGATGATGATGATGATGATGATGATGATGATGATGGCTTTCTAGAGCCTAGGGGGAGAACTGAGGGAATGGAAAATCGAAAGTATCGCTAAGCACCCCAAACTGGGCACCCTTGGTCGGCCAGCAACTCCTTCTGCTGGTGGCTGGCCTTTAGTCATGGTGATCACACTGCCTCTAAGGATCACTGCTGCTCAAGGAGCCAGATGACAATCTCACTATCCATGTGGCTTTAAAAAAAAGTCACTTTAAAGTGACCTGGATAAAAGTAGAATTTTTTCTAGCATAGTTTTAAGTTTGCAACAAAATGGAGAAAATACAGCAGATTTATGTATCCTGATTACCACGCCCACACACGTACAGCTTCCCCAGCTACCCAAAAGAGGCTGCTGCTTAGGTTTCATATTCAAGTACATTGTCAAAGTACTGAAGATCCTAACAGGTGTCAAGTTCATCTATTTTGAAAGGAGTGTTAGTGTTTTCTATCATCCGCTTATTACAGCTTTAATAGAAAAAAAAAAAACTAGAAAATCCCTAATACATATTTGGTTGCTAAAGAATATTGAATAAGGGGGTAATTAATTATGATGATGCGGTTTCTTTTATATAAAAAAGAATTGAATGGAATTTCTACTTGATTTCTATAAATGCACAAAATCATGTCACCATTACCGCACAATATACAATTAGAGAATTTTTGCCAAGAAAACACAAGACTTGTAATTTGTAAATAGAGCAGTTTAGATGGAAATAATAGGAAATATTAAGAAATAAAAGCTTTTCAAATGTATGAAATATATCCATGAGATAAGAAACCCTTAAGAAAATAGCTTATTCATCTACCCACCAGACATTATTTATTTTAGGGACTAAAGTAGAACTTGATTTACTACATTAGCAAATTATAGACAGTGAAGGTAAGAGAAAGAATCACTGGTTTTATCTAATATTTAATCTCAGTTGTGAAAACAAAGGGCAAGCCCCCCTGCAAAGGAAAAGAATCTGTGCTCGGTTCCAAAGGGCTCCTTCACTTTCGTTCCGCCTGTACCCCGAGTGAGCTTTCTCTAACGGTCCTCTCTGTTCTAATCTACCAATGTGGACCAGTAGCTCCTAGATGAAGAATGGAGGGAATAAGAAATTGAAACTCTTTCCAAGAAACCAGAACTGTGCATGCCTGCTTGGCCAGCTCCAGGCCTTAGTGGTGCCTTCTGCCTGCCTGGGACTGTCCTGCATCCAGGGGCACAGCGGTGCTCCTAAGAATCCTCCTCATGCAAGGAGCCATATGACCCTCAGACAATCTCGTATGGGGGTGGCTTTAAAGTTACCTGTTTACTTTGTAAATAGGATCTCAAGTCCGCATCTTGTACAGCAATTAATCACTAAGAAGAATGTATGCAGTGTGTTAATTACTGAAACTGTCCTACTGATTTGATTTGAAACTGTCTCATTGCTATTTGTTTATCAATAAAATTATGGCAAAAATAAATTAAAAAAAAAATAAAGTTACCTGGATGGAAGTGCAAACCTTTGTTTTTATTACAGATCCTGACTACATCTGCAGCATAGGATTACATGAAATAATGTAACAAAACTGTTCAAAAATCAAAGTTTATCTTAAAAAGAAACCAAATCACATTTCCTCTGCATGACAGATAAATCTGTTTAGAACAATAAATGGTTAGATTTTGATACTGATAAAATATTTTTGAAAAGTCAAAATACATCAAGTTATCCATTTGCAGGCATGACTCTGGGTAGTAAAAATAATTTGTTTCCATCGTATTATATTCAATGTGCCTCACTTTGTTTCTCTTAAATTAATGGAATGGTAAGTGAATTCAGGATGAAAAGTTATTGTACATTAAAGATAGGAATAAATTCTTCTGTGAGTAAATTATACCTGATAGCTACTGAAGTCTATATAAGTGCTGTTTGTCTACCTGCAGGTTTTAAATCCATTCTACGTATTCCAAGCCTTCACCCTAACTTTGTGGCTATCACAAGGCTACATAGAGTACTCTGTTGCTATCATCATTCTTACCATCATCTCCATTGTCTTAAGCGTGTACGATTTGCGACAGGTAAGAGATAAAAACCCAGTGGGATTCTGTTTAGATTCCAGATAAAGGAGAAAAAAATCTAGAATTTCCAGAGAGAGCAGGCAGTTGCTTTGTCAAACATAAGCTGTAGCAAAACAATAAGCAGAGGTTTATGAAATGTAGCTTCACAGTAAGAGGACTTTAGAAACACATTTGAACATCGTTGCCAATTCTGACGAAGAAGACTTCATTGAACAGCGTGTGTAGAGGGACTCCAAGGAGGTGTCTGAGTGGGGCTGCAGAAGAGTCCAGTGATAGATTAATGATGTTGGCAGTGGTTTGAGCAGAGTGAGTGGTGGGAGTGTTTCAGCTGTGTATATTAATGAAGACATATGTCCCCTATGTTGATGTGACAACGTGTGTCTCCAGTTAAATGCTGTTTGTTTTTTGCATTTCCCATCTAGCTATTTAGGGAAACTTAAGCATTTCTTAACATTCTTTTGTCCTGTCTGTTTCTTCACTTGGAATGAAGATATATCTCTATGTAGACTGCAGATAAACCCAAAAGCAATAGAGAAATTTCTATGAGGCAGTTTGGAGAAGGTTTGGGGAATAAATGTGGCTTGATTCTCAATTCTATGGGACAGTGTGTCAGCAAGAAAATTATCTATTAAGTAAAAATATCCAGATAATAATAGTAACCTATAGTTTTAAATAGATTCATAACAGGTGATTGCTATGTATTCCAAAAGCTTAAAAAATGATTACTATAGGGTAATCTGCAGAAGCGTAAATTCAAACATCAAGATTATAAATATATGCATTTACTTCTTTATCAATGTCATCATCAGTTGCACACTTTTTTCACTCCTGTTTTACTCTATTAGGTGCATACATAGTACATATTTATATGGAGATTTACATACTTATTAATTTTAAATTAAAATAGAACTTTATGTATATTAATTGGGATATTTGACTTTACTATGGCAATTGGCCAACTGTGAAAATCATCCTAGATAATGTTTAAAATTATGTAGTTTCATGATGTATCATAAACTATTCAACCATTCTTTTATTTTTGGGAAATAATATTATTTTCCTACAGTTTTTCCAACCACAAATAATGTTGAACTAAACATAACTACAATATAGAGATATGCTTGCATATTAGTATTTGCATTTTTTTAGCCTAGCAACCAAAAGCCAGATTGCTGGATAAAAGGATAGGTATAATTTGAATTTTAATAGATGCTGCTATGTAATTTTCTCCAAATGAAATAATTCCTTCTGTCAGCAACACACAAGAATATAATTTCCTCTGCTTCTCACCAGCATTTGGTGGTATATAGTATTGATATTTAAACTTTTTACTTTAATACATTTTTAAATTGCTGTTTTAATGTACATTTCCCTGATGACTAGTGAATACTGACCTATTTCCATTTGTCTGAATTTCAGATTTTCTTTTATATTCATGGATATACCTTACATGAGAAAAGCTTTATTTTTAGTCAGTATTTTTCTCTTGATTTTGACTTTTGCTATACATTAAGAATTATGTAGAGTGAAATGTGTTTCTGTTTCCCTTTATGGTTTCTAGGTTTCCTGTTTTGTATAAAAAGAGGTCCATTCCAAACTTTGGTGATTTCAGTTGTTTTCCCTTTTAATTTGTTTAATATGCATTTTTAACTCCTTCATGCAACTGAGATATTCAAGTTCTACATCTTAACAGAATCCCTAAACTCCTTTGCCCAAAATAGTGACCAACATGGAAACTTGGGACTTCATGACAGGATTCCTTTCAGAACAAGAAAAGGAATCAGAAGAGAGGCTAATCTCATCTGCAGCTGGGATCTATTTCAAAAGGTCGCCTGACCCAACCTGAAGAGCATCCACACAAAATTGTGTTCATTTCCTGAAACTGGACCTTTGCAGTGGAACGCTTTCGCCACGGGGCTGTGATGTGTATGTCTTGCTGCAGGGGCAGCTTGCACCACCAGGGGTCCATGCCCACCTGTACCGTGCATGACTGTACCACTTCTGCTGCCATTGGGAGAAGCCACTGGATGGGACAGTGATGCATGTTCAAGGTGGCACAAGGCAGTGGGTCCTAGAAAATCACAAATTCTCAACAATCAGAATCTGTCCAGCACTTTACAGTTTACAAAAGAATCCTACAACCTCAATGTATGTTTGGGTGGGCATGAAAGCTTGTAAAATGAAACATATACAATTATTATATCCTTTTCCAACCTTGAGAGAAGGACGGGGACAATCAGGAAGGTGAAGTGACTTTCTCTCACACCTTCTGCCCCATTTCTTGATTCCAAATCAAGTACTTCTCACTGGTACACTGAGCACATTCTCAAAATGCCTCATGGAACTGATTGAGACAGTAAGATTTGAGGGAGGGAGATGGGCAGGGATGAAGAAAGGAGCCCCTATTTCCATGTCCAAATCATTTTATTGAGATCTGGGGACAGTGGCACATACCTGCGAGACCAGCTACTTGAGAGATTGGGAAATAGGCTCACAAGTTCAAGGCTAGCCCAAGCAGCTTCAGACTCGATTTCCAATAAAATTATGGAAAAAAATAATAAAAAAATTTAAAAATAAAATAAAATGAAATTTTAAAAGGCTGAATATACATTTCAGCACTCAGTGAACATTTGCTTAGTATGAACAAGGCTGTGAGTTTATTCTGCAGTACCCAAAAATAAAATTCTATTGAGTTATACTGAAATTCATCATTTCATAGTATTAAGACTTAGCTAAACAAACAGGCTTTAAAAAATCGTGATAGAGGAAGTGTTTGAAGAAGTGCAAGCCAACCCCGTGCTGTACCCACCCTCGCAGCAAATCATGCTACACAGAGTTCACCTTGCCTAAGCCACCTGCACTCTAGCCACCTCCTTTGAGATCAAGCTGTGGCTCTCACACGTGTCTGCATTGAACTTCACCTGTGGATTCCTTGGCTGGTCTTCCTCTGCGGCTGTCAGAGACGGCACCCAGTGTGTCTAGCCCACAGTGTTTTGCCTTCCGTAAGGACTGCACTATCCTCAAGAGGCACCTGAGTTAATGCCCCCATTACTCATCTCTGGAGAAAATCCAGCCACAGCAAAGGCAAGGACACCAAGCACCAGAGGCTGCATACTAACACATGCAAATTAATCTTGGAAAACAACCCGATCTCACTGGAGAGAGACTGGAGAAACGGGGGGGGGGGGGGGGGGGAATGTCTAATGGAAATCAGGCAACGAGCTTTGCAGTCATGGCAAGCATCACAGCACTTGCCTGTTCCTGGCTGGTCGGTTGCCATAGAAACCTGCACTTGTACAGTTTCTGAGTACATCAGCTCAACGAGGAGACTTCCATTACCCTGTTCCAGGGATTTGGGGAGAAGTAGAGTAATTCAGTTCTATTAAGTGAGTATCTGCTCAGAAGGCCTACTATGTGATAGTAGGGGGATACACGGGTGAACACGTAGACCCTTTCTTCTGTGAACTCTCTACCTCACCTGACAGCAGATAGCTGTCATGGAATGCGATCAGTTCACCAAGCCAGGTGGAGACAGGACATGCATTCTTCCTGCGGAAGGTGAGGACTGTGGCATGGAGGTGACATTTAAATAAAGCTTTACATGAAGGGTTAGAAATAGTTTACTAGGCTAAAGCTGAGCTGAACCTTCTAGAAGATAAACAGAGCGAAGGTATGGAAGCAAGTTGCATGGAATGTTCAGTCTAATAAACAAACCCAGGTCTGCAGGAGGGTGAGGATTGAGAATTACTATCAAGAGGTATTACCTCCTTTGTCCCTACTTTCAAATGGATTGGTCATCATCCTCTTCAGCTAGACATGTACAGAGAGAGCTATCATGGCATGGACGGAGAGAGTTATCAAGGCATGGGCAGAGAGAGTTATCATGCCATGGACGGAGAGAGTTATAAAGACATCGGCGGAGAGAGTTATCACGGCATGGACGGAGAGAGTGATCACGGCATGGACGGAGAGAGTTATCATGGCATGGGCAGAGAGAGTTATCATGGCATGGACGGAGAGAGTTATCACGGCATGGGCAGAGAGAGTTATCATGGCATGGGCGGAGAGAGTTATCACAGCATGGACGGAGAGAGTGATCACGGCATGGGCGGAGAGAGTTATCATG